GGTTTATAGTTTGTAGAGGTTTCAGTTGATGGTTGGTTTGAAGACAGGGTGGCATGGCAGAGGGGCATTTAAAAGGAGAAACAGTCTGTGGAAGGGCAGGCAGAATGTAGTGAGCCTGCCTTCTGTCCTTTCCTTTTTATTACATCCAGGCTACAAGCCAATTTGTTGGTACCACCCACCCCAAGGGTGAGCCTTCCAATTACCCACACCCAGATCTATGCTTAACAAATCAGTAGACTGATTTAGTTATCACATATACCCTTAATCCATAAAAACATACCCTAGATCCAGCCGCCTCCCAAAAGCCCCACCTATTAGTATATGAGGCTTTGGAGGAAAATCAAGATACAACCCATAGCAGCATTTATTTCTTTATGGTGACAACATTTAAACTTTTTTGTTGTTGTTTTGTTTTTTTTGAGGTAGGGTCTCACTCTGTAATTCAGGTTGGCCTTGAACTTACTTTGTAGCCTAGGCTGGCTATCCTTCTGCCTCAGCCTCCTGAGTGCTGGAATAACAGACCTGTGCCACCACTCTTAGTTGAGATCAACATTTTTATTTTTAATTAATTAATTCATTAATTAATTAACTGTCGTTTTGAGACAGGGTTTCACTATGCAATTTAGGGTGGCCTTGAAGTCATTTGGTACCTCAGGCTGGCCTCGAACTTGCAGCAGTCCTCCTGCCTCAGCCTCCCGAGTCCTGGTATTACAGGTGTGTGCCACCACGCCCAGCAGAGATAAACATTTTTATGTTCCATATATGAATGAGATCAGATGATACTTGTCTCTCTGTGCCTGGCTTCTGTCACTTAGCATAATGATCCGCAGCTCTGTCCATGTCATAATAGATGACAGGATTCCATTCTTTTTATGGCTAAACAGTATTCTATGTTGGATCTGTACTACATTTATGTTTTCATTAGTTGATGGGCAAAGTAAATTTAGAAAAATAAGATAAATTGGTGAATATTTAAAAGTTAAATAATTGAGCTGGGTGTGGTGGCACACACCTGTAATCCTAGCACTTGGGAGGCTGAAGCAGGAGGATTGTTGTGAGTTCGAGACCAGCCTGAGCTACAAAGGGAGCTCAAGGCCAGCCTGAACTGCATAGTGAGACCCTGTCTCAAAAAGACCAAAAATAATTAATTAATTAATTAATTAATTAAGGTTTATTGTACAAATTGACTAATCTCTGCTTAAGTTTGATTTGTTGTGTTTATGGACTAAACCAATTTATAGGGCTGGGAATATAGCTCAGTGGCACAGCGTGTGCAGGGCAAGCTCAAAGTCCTGAATTTGATTCCTGGTACCAAAAAAAAAAAAATTTGTAATTGACATTAATAATTTTTCATTTCTCTAAGTTTTAAAATTGTACTTTATAGCTTTTAGAAGCTTATATTTATAATTTAAATAGAAAGTGATAATTATTGTGGGTTTTTTTGTTTTTTTGTTTTGTTTTTTTTTCTCCGGTACCGGGAACCGAACTCACGACCTTGCGCATGCCAGGCAGGCGCTTTTGCCGCTGAGCTAAACCCCCAGCCCCAATTATTGTTTTTTGTATTAAAGAAGTAGTCACAATTAGATTGATTTATGTGGGAATTTTTCAGTCTGAAGTACCTAATGATTTCTGTTACCTGACTAACTTTTTCCATGTGAATGTAGTGTGAGCAGGCATTTTGGAAAGATGATTTCTTTCCCAACTTCGGTTGCTGGCAGCCACCTGCACATAGGCAGGGCTCATAAGGAGTGTGGGGGTCTGGGGTTTCACTGGCCTCTGGGCCAACACCAGACCTTTTGAGTTTGCAGAAATAGCTGTGCTCCAGAGAGAAAGCTTAATTCCAGCTCTTCTAGAGGTTCCTCCTCTGGTGCTAACTACTTTTTAGCAGTTGCAGCTTGACCTGAGCTTTAAGGCCGAGGAGAGCTATGGAAAACAGTCCACTTAGATGTACACTTTCAGTCAGCCAAGGAGAAGGGTGAACAAGGAGAGCATCCATTGGCTTCATTGATGGCGAGTTCACACAGAACAAAAGAAATTATCTTAAGAGTCTTAAACAAAGTGACATGCTTCTAATTATAGCATAAAAGAATTTAAACATGAAGTGAGGTGGAAACACTTCTCCATATATTAATTTGTTGAGAGAATGATGTTTCTGAATGAGACTCAGATTCATGATTTAGAATATTAGGGAGACGAGTATATAAAACCAGAAAAATGTACAAAAAAGGAGAAAGATCAAATGGAGGCAGTGCAACAACTAAAGATATAATAGTGAAGAATTCTTGTTTGGAGGAATGATTGAAAGGAGTTCATTGAGTTTCCACCTCAAATGTGAAAGGTGGTCGGCAGGCAGAGGAAACTGCTTACAAAAGAAAAGTAACCAGCAAGGCACCAGATTGCTCCCCCTGTGACACTGGAAACTAGAAGGTAGCAGAATAACATCTGCAGATTACTAAGAATTGTGCCAGCATATACTTGTGTGGTTAAAATATTTGCAGATATGCGGAACTCAAGGCTGTATTTGTCAGGTGCTCCTTCTGGAGAAAGTTCTCCCAGGAGTCTCACTATATAATTCCCAACAGAAACTTGAAGTTTTCTGTTTTCCTACAAACACAAGAAAGAAAACAGTGGTAAGCAAATAAACCTTACAGTATATTTAAGTGGATAATGATGTTCAGTAAATCTCCAACTTAAAAACATTTAAGTTTTAGGGCCGAGGATGTAGCTCAGTGGCACAAGTGCCTGCCTGGCAAGCGCAAGGTCCTGAGTTCGATTCCCGGTACCAAAAAAAAGCATTCAAGTTTTGAATAGTACAAGTGTACTATGTATTCACAGGTACTATATAAGATTCACTTTGTCAGATTACAAACTAATCACACTTAGGAACGTTCTCTGGAACGGAACTGAACAGATTTGTAAGCCAAAGATTTATTGTATAAAGCATATATCAACTTACATTTCTTTTTTTTTTTTTTTTTTTTTTTGGTTTTTTTCTGTACTGGGAATCGAACTCACTACCTTGTGCTTGGCAGGCAAGTGCTGTGCCGCTGAGCTAAATCTCCAGCCCCTCAACTTACATTTCTGTTCTGTATGTTTCTTGAAGGTTTACAGCTGATAAAGAAGCAACATTAGACTCACGCTCTGTCCCTTTGGCAAAATCCTCGGTGATACTCTGTTCTAGTGGGATGCATATACAGTAATTTCTGATTGCTTTTTTATAAAGATAGCCAGATTGTTTAGTTCTAGCTCCATTTATTATTGGGGATTGCACTAGGTGTGGTGGCGCACGCCTGTAATCCCAGCACTTGGGAGGCTGAGACAGGAGGATCATTGTGAGTTCAAGGCCAACCTGGGCTACATAGTGAATTCAAGGCTAGCCTGAACTACCCAGTGAGACCCGGTCTCAAAAAAAAAAAAAAAAGAAAAGAAAAGAAAAACCTGGGGGTCGCAAAATGTTGATATCCTGGCATTCTGTTTCATTCATAGTTAGGATACCTTATTTAGAGGTGCTTCTCTTCATCTCTTTGGTTACTCAATGATCTGTCTGCATAGGGAATGCACAATAAGTGTTTGATTCTTCTCACTTTACCATTTATAAGAAACCAATTGGTTCTGTGTCATATATTTGGAGTATACCATTATAAACTCATGTAGTTCAATATGTGCAGTAGGTTTTCACTTCATTGTAATTATTATCATTTTTTGGTAGTACTGAGGCTTGAACCCAGGGCCTGATACCTGCTAGGCAAGAGCTCTGCCACTGAGGTATATCCTCAGTCCTTTTTATTTCTTTACTTTGCTAAGTCACCCATGCTGGGTTGGAATTTGCAGTCCTCCTTGTTGAGCTTCCTGAATAACTGGGATTACAGATACGTAGTTCCTACCATGCCCTGTGCTTTTGTTTTTATTGAAGTTCACACTGTCTCATCTATTGCCAGTGCTATCAAAGAAGGTTACAGGATCTTGATAATCTTCAACTGGTGAAGAAAAGGATAATATTTTTTGTTTTGCTTTGTTTAGCTTTTGTAAAAATCTGAGAATGTTTTCTGTGCTTCTGGAAAGATGAATTAAGAATCCATTTCTTTCCTAAGATATGTGAAATTTAGTGATATAATCTGTGTGTGTGTGTGTGTGTGTGTGTGTGTGTGTTTACACTGAGCTAAATCCCCAACCTTTCTATTTTTTTATTTTGAAACAGGTTCTGGCTAAGTCACTGAGTTGCCCAGACTGATCTGGAACTTGTGACCCTCTTATCTCAGCCTCCCAAAGTGCTGGAATTAGAGAGATGCACCATCACACAGGCTAGTGATACAAACTTCTATACAGTCTTTAGGTAGATGTCTTAGAACTTCTAAAACAACACTGCTCAAGTGTTTTTTTTATTTTTTGTTTTTTGTTTTGTATCAGGAATTGAACTCAGGACCTCGCACTTACCAGGCAGGTGTTGTGCCACTGAGCCATATCCCTGCATGTATCTGCAGAGAGTAATTGTTTTACTTCCTAGTATATGTGGAAACTCAAAAGGAATGGTTGGCTGAGTGTGGTGGTGCATCCTAGCAGTCCCAGAGCTCTGAAAAGCTGAGGCAGGAGGATCAAAAGTTTGAGCCTACACTGGGCAGTTTAGCAACTTAGCAAGACCCTGTCTCAAAAAATAAAAAAGGCCTGGGGATAGAGCTCAGTGCAATAGCCCTAATTTCAATCCCCAGTACTGCCTCAGAAATGAAATAAATAAAAATTTGGAAAAGGACTAAGAAGGTAACTCAGTGAGAATGTCCTGAGTTCAATCTATAAAAAAGAAGACAAAAAATAATCTTTTTCCAGCAACAGTTAGAGGCATATGTAATTGACTTATTCAGTCAATAAATATTTTGATGCTTGCACTAAGCCAACTCCACAGTAGAAACTCTGGAAAATTAAAATATATTTATCACAAAATCTACTTATTAATTTATGTTTGAATCAGCTGTCAGGACTGATTTTAAATTTATTTCTTCTTTCAGATTTATCACGAAATCGCCTCTCAGAAATTCCTATAGAAGCATGTCATTTTGTTTCTCTTGAAAATCTCAACTTGTACCAAAATTGTATTCGGTATATCCCAGAAGCAATTATAAACTTGCAAGCTCTAACATACTTAAATATTAGGTAAGAATACTGTTTCTTTAAAGATTTTGTTTGTGTTAAATAGTCTTTTCCTTTTTCCTAATCTCTTTTTATTTCAGTGTTTATGAACATTTATGTTATCTGTTCATATCAGCAGTTTCTGTATGTGTCCTTAAGATATATTGAATATATTGCTTTATTTTCTCTTTATTTTTGGCTTAGCATTCAAACCTGACTAGCTTTTAGCTGAGGAAGTGTGCAAAGTCTTGTCTAGCAGACTTGTAATAGTGATCCTCTAATTACATTTTCACATTAATTTCACCAAATAAGAATATTAAACTGTGTTTACTTAGCTAGAAGAGAGCTAAATAAAATGGAAAAATATTATGTCACAAAAAAAGTAAGAATAGTAGATCTAGCTGGCAGTGGTGGCAAATGCCTATACTCCTGGCACTCAGGGGGCTGAGGCAGGAGAATCGCTGTGAGTTCAAGGCCAACCTGGATTACAGAGTGAGTTTATGGCCAGCCTGAAATGCATAGTGAAACCCTGACTCAAAAAGACCACCCCCAGAAAATTATTTATTTATATGTATATATTTATAGTAGATCTGAAATTATTCATTTGGTTCTTGTGACTATTTTTTGTGTATTAAGCTCTGAGTATATAAATTTATAAATATATTTATTCAGCTCACCTCTATTTTTTCACATCTTGTAAGAACTATTTTATTTCACAGGCATGCAAAGGTTAAAAAGCTAATTGAGAATGTGTACAAATATAGGAAAGTATAAATTTATCAAAATGTTGTTATCTGAGTTATATTATTATAGGTGATCTTTTCTCCTATTTTTCCAGGCTTTTAGTCAAAAAGTTTAAAGCATTTTCCTCTTGTCATAAAATATCCTTTGGAAATAGTTTATAAGTAATACTTTATTGTAGTATATTTATATACTTTTTAAACCCTGTTTTCCTGAGATACTTACTTTTTTTTTGAGACAGGGTCTTGTTTTGTACTTTAGGCTGGACTTGCACTAAGTATGTAGCCCAGGATGGCCTCAAACTCATGGCAATCCTCCTACTTTAGCCTCCAGAGTGCTAGGATTACAGATGTGCGCCAGCTGTATCACACCCAACTGATACTTAGCTTTTGCCAGTTTTTTTATTTTGTTTTTGTATATGGTACTGGGAATACCATATACATGGTATTCAAGGCCTTTGCACTGAGCTATGTACCTAGTTGTTTTGATTTCTTTGGTTTGATTTGATTTTGTTTTTGATACAGGGTCTCACTATGTTTTTTTTTTTTTTGGTCCCAGGAACTGAACTCAGGACGTTGCGCTTGCTAGGCAGGCTCACTATGTATTCTTACAACAGAGTTAGAGGCTTTTTTTCTTTTTTTTTTTTTTTTTTTCTGAGACAGGGTTTCACTGTATAGTTCAGGCTGGTCTTGGACTCACTTTGTAGCCCAGGCTGGCCTGGAACTTGCAATGATCCTCCTGTCTCAGCCTCCTCCTGCCTCAGGTTCCCAAGTGCTGGGATTACAGGTGTGTGCCACCATGCCCAGCTCTAGAGGCATTTGTTTAAATGACTTATTCAGGCAATTAATAAATATTCAGTCAATTAATAAATATTTGAACTCACTATGTAACCTAGGCTGGCCTTGAGCTCATGGTGATCCTCCTGCCTCAGCCTTCCCAGTGCTGGAATTATAGGTGTGCCACCATGCCCAGCCCCATCTGTTTTTTTATTTTTTATTTTGAGACAGGGTCTTGCTAAGTTTGCCCAGATTGAGCTGGAACTTTCCTTGCCTCAGCCTTCCAGAGTGCTGGGAGAACAGGTGTGCACCCCAAAGCAAGCTACAAAAATACTTAGTTTATGGATGAGGAATCTTCATATAACCCAGATAAGTTCAGGGCTATGCATAAACCTACAAAGCTGACAGTTGATGAAATGAAGAGTAGAACACAAATCTGCTAACCTGTTTACTTAGATTTGAGTCTAGAATAAGAGAGACGGAAATTTTTCTTCAGTAGTAGCATCTGACTCCTCTTTTCTTACTCATTTAGTCGGAACCAACTGTCAACATTGCCAGTACACTTGTGTAATTTACCATTGAGAGTCTTAATTGCTAGTAATAACAAATTGGTCTCACTTCCAGAAGAAATTGGACGTCTCAGACATTTGACGGAACTTGTAAGTTAATATTTTAACTTTTGATTGTGCAGTGTGTCTCCAGCCATACCATACTCTTCCATATGTTAACAATCTATTCTTAAGATGTGGTTTTGAGTTTTTTTCCGATGTTAGACATGCACTGTACAGTACTAAGTGATCAGTGCACAATTCCTTGACAATTCCTTGAGAAAGGACCGGAAGTACAAATCTCGTAGACATACACAGAATAGAGAAATGTGATTAGAATTATGTACTAACCAATATTGAATGATTTCCATGTTATTAAACTTTTGTGATATTAGTTAATACTACATTTGACTACATTTGACTTTTCAAGTTAAATTTTGTAATATCAAATTTTTTTTTTTTTTTTTTTTTACATATTTTGAGATAGGGTCTCACTTTGTAGTTCAGGCTGGCCTTGAACTCAGTATGTAGCCCAGGTTGGCCTTGAATTTGTGATGATCCTTCTGCCTCAGCCTCCGGAGTACTAGGATTACAGATGTGCACCACCACACCAGCTTTAATACCATCAATACTCTAATTTTCAGTTAGTTTTATAGGAGAATGGATACTTAAAATGTCAAGGTTTTGAGCCTGGCATGGTGGTGCACGCCTGTAATCCCAGCACTCAAGAGGCTGAGGCAGGAGGATCATTGTGAGTTCAACGCCAGCCTGGGCTACAAAGTGAGCTCAAGGCCAACCTGAACTGCATAGTGAGACTCTGCCTCAAAAAGACAAAAAAAAAAAAAGTTAAGTTTTTTTGTTTGTCTTACTGTATTTGAAGTATAACTATAAAATAATTTACTGCCATATATTTTTCTAAGGTGTTTACTTGAAATTTACCTACCTTCCACTGTAAATTATAAGGAACTATCTCTTGTGTAAATGTTCTGGGTACAGGAATGAGACTTTACTCACTGGGCATAGTGGCACATGCCTGTAGTCCTAGCACTCCCGGAGGCTGAACCAGGAGGATTACAAGTTCAAGCCCAACCTGGGCAACTTAATGACACCAAGTTTCAAAGTAAAAAATAGAAAGGGAGTGGGATAATACAGCTCAGTGTGAAGGCTCTAGGCTCATTCCTCAGTACCAGGAGAAAAAAGAAAAAGAATTTTCTCGTTTAATCACTGTGATTAATATAAGCTGAGTGCTAAAATTGTCTTCATTTTATAGCTGAGGAAAGTACCACTTAGGTTAAATAATTTGCCCAAGGTTACATAGCAGTAGAATTTGGAACCAGTTATCTTGATGGAACCAGTTATCTTCATTTCTGAAATGCTGAAATGAAATTCTGTCCATTGAGATTGAAGAGTATAGTTCCTTGTGGGTTTATTTACAAAGATGTTTATCATAAACAGAAAAGGTTATGTAATGTTAATCTAAATGGACAAATTAGGACAGTTTTTACATGCATTTTGCATATAAGAAGTTACATGTAAAAACTCACAGACATTAATCCTACAGTCTAGATTTTAGACTAGTTTTAGAGCCACTTAGACCTAGGAAATGTCCAGAGTGTACATTTGTTGGCATTTATTCAGTTTGGATTGATAACATGAACTAGTTGTAAATTATACTCCAATTCAAATTCTCATTTTCAAGTCATTTAAAACTTTATTTTCTACTTTTCTTTCTTTGTTTCTTTTTTTTTTTTTTTGTCTTTTTGAGACAGGGTCTTGCTATGCAATTCAGGCTGGCCTCGAGCTCACTTTGTAGCCCAGGTTGGTGCTTGCAATGATCCTCCTGCCTCAGCCTCCCGAGTGCTGGGATTACAGGCATGCTCCACTACACCCAGCTTTATATTCTACTTTTTCAGTCCTACTTACTCAAAAGATAGATATGTTTCAGTAGCTGCCTTTAGTTTTTATTCTTTCCATCATACAAAGAGCTTTTACTGGCAGAAGAATCTGTTCCTTCAAGCTCCTGATTCCTCCCTGATGGTCTTTCTGCAACATCCAAATTGTCTCTTCCCTTTGTTTCACCTCATTTTTCAGTGAAAGTAAATGATGTCTTTCAGCATATGTTTTCTGAAAGATATTTTATAAATTGTTACCACCTTTTTAGTCAAACTAGTTTTCCTTTTCACCGTCTTTTAGAACCCTCCAGCCTTGGTTGCCTAGAACATTGGATTAAAAAGTCTAGCTCCTGGTTCTGCTTCAGGCACTAATTAGCCGGAAAGTGAAAATTGCATTGTTTTCTCTAAGAGTATTTTGAGAAAACTAAAAAGTAACGTCTGAATCTTACTGAAGTTTTTACTGAAGTAGTCTGACTTTCTAAATATTACTTATATGTTGGAAGAATTTTACAGGTTAATGTGCAGCTTGGATGATTTCTTAACCTAGGAGGCTTCCCACTGTTTCACATGATAGTGGGTTTACAAATTATTCTGGCTGTCAGAATCATGGAATTCTGAGTTTACTAATCTTGGAACCTGTCCGTAGTCTCTTTTCAGAATCATTAGAATCAAGGTGTTAACCAAGATTCCAGAAGGCCTAACTGACACATATTTAGAAACAGATTCATAGAGTTGGGTATGGTGGTGTATGTCTCTAATCCTAGCACTTGGGAAGCTGAGGCAGCAGGGTTGCTATGAGTTGAAGGCCAGCCTGGGCTACATAATGAGTTCAAGGACAGCCTGAACTGAATAGTAAAATCCTGTCAGGCTGGGGATGTAGCTTAGCCATGCAATGCCTGCCTGGCAAGTGTGAGCCCCTTCGTTTGGATCCCAGTACAAAAAAACCCTGTTTCAAAAAACAACACAAGGGGCTGGGGATTTAGCTCAGCGGCAAAAGCGCCTGCCTGGCAAGCGCAAGGTCGTGAGTTCGGTTCCCGGTACCGGAGAAAAACCAAAAAAAAAAACAAAAAACAAAAAACAACACAAAATCAGTTTCATCAGATGCTAATAGAATAGTCCCTATTTTTTTCATAGCCTGTGAGTATGTGTGTGTGTGTTTTTAAAACTGGGATTGGGACGTTGTGTTTGCCAGGCAGGTGCCTTTCCATCAAGCTGTACCCCCAGCCCCATGTACGTATTTTCCCCACACATTCAGTTTGGTACTTTGAGTCATCTGTGCATTTTAATTCATATTCTTGATCAGTCAGACTGGTATTTTGAAGATGGGTTTTTTTCTTCCAAATAATTGTATCGTTTTGTTTTCCTAGTTTCATTAGAATAATAGAAAATAAAATATTTATTTTGATATTGTACTTTTTCCTACTTTACCTTTTGACTAACATTTTCCTTTGATCTAATAGTATAGGCCTCCTAGTCACATATTAAGTCATTTAATTGTAGTTCTCAAAAATTCATGTTAATCTATATAAAATGTACAGAATCAGTCAAAACTTACTTTTTAAACATATTTTTAAAATATGTGCAACTTTATTTTTTGTGGTGGTGGGAATCAGATCCAAGACCCGGCCTGTGCTAGGCAAGTGTTCCATCATTGAGCTGTATTCCTACTCCAGTGCTAGTCAATTTTCAAGTTAAATGTGAATATAAAGTGTAGAATTATTTTTAGACACAAAAGCACAAGCTTTTGGTACTGAGAAGGACTCTGATATTATCCTATCTAATCTCATCTGATGGTTTAAAGCAGGCAAGTTTGTAATAAGAACAATCTTTACTTTGTATCCTTTTGAAATAGGATGCCAGCTGCAATGAAATTCAGACTGTACCTTCCCAAATTGGTAATCTGCAGGCTTTGCGAGACCTAAATGTAAGAAGAAATCACTTAGTATGTTTGCCTGAAGGTAAGAAACTGAAAGAATTGTCTTGTTATTTGTCTTTTTATTTTAAGGACCACAGACTGATTGGCAGAAGACAAAAGTATTTAAGTTAGGCCAGTGTTTGAGAGCTGATACTTTATTTAATAGTGGTATCTGTTCTATTGTAGGGTTTTTTTTTTTGAGACAGGGTTTCGCTGTGTAGTTCAAGGTGGCCTTGAACTCACTTTGTAGCTCAGGCTGGCCTCAAACTCAGTGATCCTCCTGCCTCAGCCTCCTGAGTAGTGGGATTACAAGTGTGTGCCACCACACCCGGCTTCTATTGTAGATTTTTAAGGGCTCTTCAATGAAAAGTTTTGTTTCTGTTTCAGTACTGGTAATTGAATCTAGAGCCTTGTGTATGTGCAAGTGCTGTACCACTGAGCTACAGCCCTAGCCCTCAGTAAAAAGTTTTGATAACTATTAACCACTGATTTTGTTTTTATGAATTACCAGTTGATGTAATTGGTAACTCAGGGTAGGGCCACTGAAAATTTCAGCAAGTGTGACTATGGGAGAAATGTAATGTTTTTAATTTTTTTTTTTATTTTAAAGAGTAAAAGAAGGATAGCATAGTAATAGGGGGGCTTACTGAATTACAGTCAAAGTGGTAGGAAATTATCAATGGTGGTTGTTTTACATATTGTTATCTACAAGATAGTTTCTCAGGAAAACAAGTAGACAATAGTGAGCTACAGACAAAAGTGGTAGGTTATATCAGTGGTTGTTGTACTATACTTTGGTATCTTCAAAGTGGCTTCTAAAGAAAATAAATAGAGCTATACATGAGTGACCAATTGAATATTCATTGACTATTCTCAATGGTTGTTGTAGGAAACACATAATAATGAACATACATCCATTTATGAAATAGCATAGGAACAATACAAACATTACAGAGTTATGGACAGATTAGTAGGAA